CGCCCACACCCACACCCCACACCCACACCCACATCCACACCCTACCTGCTACTGTTTTTATAAGAAGGTAGATATAGAATGTGATTTTTTCGTTGACTAAAATCAAAATTCAATCGACGACGCAAAGGTAAGGTGAAAAGGGGATCCTTTTTCTTACTTATTGACTGCTGATTCAACGTCATCTCACAACACAAGGTCAAGTACAGGTATACAGAAAATGACTAGATATTTGTGGTCTCAATGTAGCCCTCACCAAACAGACTTATTTAAAAAAACAAAGCTCACAGTTTTGGACAGTTCGACATTCTGACTTTTGGTATTTAAAAGAAAGAAGCTTTAATGAAGCATAGTCAGTGAGAGAAAATATGCTCGTATGTGCTGCAATTTGTTCTTAATACTCGTAACACAGAAACAAGCTTGTAAATGAATGAAAAAAAATACCTGCTTCTCATTTTCAACACATTCACTCTTTTTCGTTACTTTTAGCAATCAAAGAATAGAATATATCATTCTGAAGATTTGTTTTTTTTGGTTTGATAATTTTTGTGCGACGTTTTTTTTTGTAGAATAAAAATATTTCAATTATTTAAATTTTTGAAACTGTTCTAGATTACGAGTGAAATCTATATTATCACAAGTCTTGCATTAGACACACAATTATTTCATTCGAAATAAATAAACACCAATTCTGCAGTTGGAACAATTTAACAATAGAAGTTTGCTTCAATAAACAACTGAAAGAACAATAATAATGAGGTATAGCAAGGCAATTTATGATTGTAGAAAACAATCTGGAGATATAATGTAATATCAGAGTTACTGCAGCTTATTGCTCCTGAGTTGTTGATAAACATCCATCTCCTGTGTTTGTCGTCTGAGTCATCGATTCAATATAATATTTATCCACATGCATACACTTTAATTTTTCATTCTAATTCTTTTATTTTTCAACAAAACCTTTTACACTTCGCTTGAAATCATAAGTATTTAACATTTCGAGTAGTGTTTATTAACATATTAAAAGCATTCGTAATACCTGTCTAATTTGAGTTTAAAATTGAATGGAGTATGATACAATAGGAAGGAGTTCTTCCAAGAATCTTGAATAAAGTAACTTGTTTATTTTCCACAACAACTGTTATATCACTAGATACAGTTTGGAAAAAAAACCATAGCAGAGTTTCCGTATTGCTCCATAAAGCAACCCTTTTTTGTATGATGGTATCAAACTTATATCATGGTTTATTCCTTTTGAGATATAAATTCATCGCAAAAGTTACTGAGCTTCATGATCTGTTATTTAGAATGATTTCATGGCTATAGTCAACTATTCTCTGAATTACGAGACTAAGTATACTAAATCGTCAACATATGAAAAATTCATAAAAGTTAGTGATAGGTCTAGTTTTGATGTAAAGAGAACAATCAAAATATCGATCAAATACGCGAGAGTAAAGGGCAAGTCGAGTTGTTTAGAATTGCTTTGAAGCGCAGAATAAAAAACATACATCAGTTAATTGAACACCATGCTAAAGTTTTAGCATCATTCTTCTAAGCATTGATAAACTGCTGGTTTCTACGTACTATTCGATCTATCACGAGCTGCTATACAACACTACACTCGAGACTTTTTGATTCATCGATAGCCACCATATATGAATTAGTGTTTGATTGATTTTTAACACAAGATTATTCTTTATAGTTCGATAGATGGAACTTACCGTGTGACAGGTTACACAAAAAATTCGACTGATGGCAACAAAACTACTATCGATAACATGGTTCTATATTTAAAAAATGGACGATTGTCAGCTTCGGGTTGCTACAATGCTGGATCGAATTACAATGGTCAACAAATGGCAGTGTAAGTATAAAAATCAGAGCGGAAATGAATTCAGCATAGTAAGTTTAATAAAAACTTCAACTAGTAGATTTATTTATATATTGATATTGTGTGTAAAATGAATTTTTAATTAAAAATTTCTGATGAAAAAACTTGATTCTTGAGAAGGTTTTGTTTTTAGTATAGTTTGATGATGCACAATTATTCCAGCATCTGAAATTTTAGATACATTGTTTTCATACTATTTTATAGAGAATGAGATGGTGATTTTGTTGGAAAAAAAATCGATGAATCAAATAAAATGACCATCAGAAATAAAGTTCAAAGCGTTGAAAAAACAGTTTCTTGTAACTCTATCGTTGCTTTTGCAAAGAGTACAGATATTTCTTAAGTAAAATCACACGTATTTCGCTCCGATATTTTTCAAAAATATATGAGACTAGTGATGCTGACAAGTCCTCATTGGAAACCAACTCTTATTAAAAAAAATAATCGACGTCCAGAACGAAGAAAAAGTCCAATTTTGAAACAAACTTTCTGATTTTGCGACTACAAGTACCTAAATCTCCATTATCAATCAAGTACTACTCGTTATTCCTTTCCGATGTAAAATACTTACTAACGATGGAACATTCCCAAGTGATCCGCTCCGGTTGCCTTCATATTTAGTCTATATGTAGGACCTAATATGGTAAGAAAAAGCCTAAGAGGATTTGTGCTCTTGTTGTTTCTTTCAAAAGTTATGACCGTTTTATTGATTTTCGACCCCTTCCTAGGTATTTACCGAAAAAATCAAATTATGGAATTTCGATCTGAAATTTTCTCCATAGATAGGTCTAATGATCCTTAGAATATCCTGAAGTTTCAGCCAAAAAGAATCTTCCTTTCTTGAGAGATTGGATTTTCAAGAGAACTCGGTTTTTGTGATCTATCTTCGGCAAGCGACTATTTTTTGAAAATTCAATCTCTCAAGAAAGGAAGATTCTTTTTGGCTGAAACTTTCAGGATATTCTAAGGATCATTAGATCTATCTATGGACAAAATTTCAGATCGAAATTCCATAATTTGATTTTTTCGGTAAATACCTAGGAACCACAGTGGGCAACCAGGCGGACATGACCTCAAGTTCCATTTTCCAAAATTTAAATATTGGAATGAATACATCTATGGTTAGTCTATCTTACCTTAAAACCAAATTTTCAAAAAACAACTCGAACCCTGGAAAAACTCATCGACAAAAAAATTGGTGATAAATCGGTAATTTTACGGAAGCCACTCTTTTGATCAACTTATCAAAGTAGTTTGAAGGGAAAACTATGCAGAATGAATTGTTGATCCATGAACTTTACTGTATCAAAAATTGGTTTGGCTTGAATCAGATTTTCAATAGAAAAGAAATGATTACTGGGCCCAATGTGGGTCGAAAAAACGGTCATGTCGTATTTTGTAAACGCTACAAAGAATTTTGATCCGATTGAGTTGAAACTTTCACCGATTATTCTCCCATGTTTGATGTATCGTTGGTCATAGCATCGTGCTGCATCAGTGAGCACAGACCGAGTGAGAGGTTTTCCAAAAAAACCAGGTTTCTACCCAGGAATCGCTAGGTTTATGAATATGAAAATATTTTGACGGAAAACTAAGATGATATTCGAAATCAGCTCGTCGAGCTGCATCGAATCATATATAGCAGTAAGTGCTTCTGAGAAAAAAAGTCGGTTTCTAGGAATCGGCAAGATTTTGAAAACCAGCCTTTGCGTATTTTGTAAACGCTACAAAGAGTTTAAGTCCGATTGACTTCAAATTTTTGCTGATTGTTCTTTCATGTCTGGTACATCGTTCACCATAGCATCATCTCACGCCGATGAGCATAGCCGGTGCTACAATCTTCCCAAAAACCTAGGTTTTTGGCCCTAAATTCCTGTTTTTCACAATAAGACATCGTTTTGATGCAAAACCAAGGTGATATTCGGAATCAGCTCGTCGAGTTGCATCGAATCATGTATAACAATAAACATTTTTTCAGAAAAAAAAAAATTGGGGGTTTTGCTAGATATAGCTTCGGAAATTGGTCCTTCCATATTTTGCTAACCCTATAAAGAGATTAAGTCCAATTGATCTGAAATTCTAACCGATTATTCTTCTATATGTGATATATTGTCGGGCTTAGCGCCACCTCGCGCTGAGGAATCCAGGCTACGCTAGAAGTTTTCCAGAAATCCAGGCTTCTGTCTCTGAATCCCTATTTTCTCGATTCCGATAGCATTGTGGCGCAAAATGAATGTGATATTCGGAATCAGCGAGCAAAACTGCATCTGATGATGTGTGACACAAGACATTCGCTACGAAAAAAATTTTTTCGACAATCTGGGCAAGGGCCCCCCTCAGGTGTGTCGCCCCGAAAATTTTTTTTTCCAAAAAATGCTTTATTTTCGTAAATTCGATTTTCTGAGTAATATAAAAACACTTCTGAGTAACGGCAACCTGTTTCAGAACACAAAAGTGACATGTCCGCCTGCTTCATGAAAGTTGCCCACTGTGGGAACGGGTCGAAAGTCGGTAAATCTGTCATAACTTTGGAAAGAAACAACAAGAGCACAAATCCTCTTAGGCTTTTTCTTACCATAATAGGTCCTACATATAGACAAAATATGAAGGCAAACGGAATGGATCACTTGGAAATGTTCCCTCGTAAGTAATTAAAGATAAATTAAATATATCAACACATAAAAGAATTTCTGTGGAATTTTTTGACAGAATGCACTTATTCAGAAAATTCACACTTGTGAAATCTTCTAGAAGAAATTTTCCTTTGAAAATAAATGATAAGCTGGACGTCAAACATCATTTATATCGTCTATATATCTAGTCTCGTAAGCAAATTATAATGAAAATATCTGTTCCCATCGTGTATATTTTTTAGCTGGTCAGGATCTTACGATGGAGCGGAACTAGAATGGACTGAACTGTTTGATGATACGGGTTATGCGTTTCATTATCATGGATTTATTGAACAAAACAAATTATGGGGTACATACAAATGGACCTTCAACAGTGCTGTGGGTTCATTTGATTTTGTACTTGAACGAGTGAATGATTAATATTTCAAAGGCTGAAAGGATAATGCCTAAGTACTACAAATATATATTATCAGTCTGTGGGTGTAGGTTTGGGTGCGGACTGAGAAAACATTCATACCCTCACTTACACCCACGCACATCCACACCTACAGCTATGCCCACATCCCACGTCCCAATGTATCGATTGATAAGATTTTTTTCTAAGTGCCGATGTTCGTTTTAATAAAATATCCACACTACCGTTTGATATTTCTTAATCATAGTATCTTATTAGTGATTGGTAACCAACTTGTCATAGATTTCAATAGGACGTAAACTAAGCCATGGAAGAATCTTTATATAGGGTCTAATATATTCTAAAAATATAGCAGATAGAAAAAAATAATAAGGAAATTGTAATTATTGAAAGAGTTTTTTCCTACTCTAAGTGTTAAAGTTTAAAATATTTTCTCATAAAACTGTAAATAATAATAATAAAATAAGTGTTTGATAATGCAGTTATCATCAGTATTGTAACAATTAGTTAAATCAGAATCAATTAAAATTGAACAGGAGCAAAATGAAGAAAATCATCAACGTATAGTAAGAAAACATGCGACTAGATATCAACATCAGATAAATTAGAAATATTAATTTAAAATTTAAAATTAACTTGTGCAGATTTTGACGAACGTGTTAAACGTAGAAATTTCCAAACAGCATCAGAAACAGATTCAATTCTTGCACAAATTATAGAAGAAACTCAACAAAGTCAACAAGAATTACTAATTTCTGTCAAAGAATATCGAAGTTTATTAGAAGAACTTATTGAACAGCTAGCTTTTATACAAGAACAACTTCAACAATAATGTTTACAAATATTTAATGAATATTACCTTAAAGTTCAAACTGTTAGTGAACAAGCGAACTATGCTAAAAACCCAACCATGTTAGAACAAGAAAGAAAAGCATAAAAAAAATTGATTCAATTGTTACTGAAATAAATTCTATTTCAACTCAATTATCTATTCAAAATTTAGCTGTAGAAATTAAAACAAATATTAAATGAACGGTTTATGAAAAACTTGCATCAAAATAAACAGTTATTTTAAGAACTACACTTTTGCTTCCAATGATTCTTCCAATGACAAAATACAAGAAATAGTAGAATAAGATGCTTTTCTTTTATACATTACTTCTTTTTTTCTTTGGATATCTATAGTAGATTCTATTACTAATACAACAATGATGTACAAACGCATATAGAATAACATGAGACGAAGGAAAAAGAAACTTGTTTGTCCATGAGACACTTGATAACAATAAATGTATCCACTTGTGTTAAGTAGTCTATCGTTTCGGTAAATGTTAGGTAACAAAAGTTCTGCTTCAACAATTCTAATGAAATCACATACTTTCCCATCCATACCTACCGACACCATATCACATTGTGTCTATGAAAACACAGTAGTGTAAAAGTTATAGACTTTGCTAAAACTTTTGCATCATTTGATCAAATAGTTAACAATTGAAAGTTGAAATTTTCATGCTATTATAAATGAAATACTTTATGAAATTGATGTTTAACATGTTGTCACCTAGATAACTTAGACATGTGTCAAAAGCTAATAAACATTGGTTTCTGGATATGAGAATAAACATGGATTTTACTAATCAATTAACAATTGGTTTCTATTTTTAATTCTTTCACAATACGAAAGTATACATGATTAATATATAAACTTCGTCACTAAATTAAATTTTCGATCTTTATGTACGACTATTATAGAACGGCATCTATTATCCCAACTATCTTCATATTATCTTTTTCTAATATCCTTTATTATCGTTTTTCATTGGTTTCATTGATATACATACACATCGAATCGATTGATATAGTTGTGTTTGTTATTTTTTTTCCTCTTGATTGTTGTTGTTATTCCGAATATAGTTCTGGAGTTATTCATAGTCATTTTTTTGTTATTATTTAAAATATACTTGTACATATCCTAACAGCGACTATCATCCGAACATTAATAAGAATGTGGATGTGTAGTGTAGATATTGTAATTTTTTCTGTTAAGAGACTCAATAATTAATAACTCAAGAGTTGGTATAGTATTTTGAGAACCCACCTAATGATGTTTTCACAAAACGGCGATGAACGCTGTTTGTCAAAGAGCGGTCTTCTTTTTATTTATACACCCACGCTCAGACTCTGGAGTCTATATACTTTGATAAATATAGTAAGAGAAAAAGAAATATGTTTTAATTACATAAAAAAAGGCATTGTATAAGATCTTCTTAGCAAAATCGAAATATGTCATGTTAACTTTTGGCCTTTTTATACAAACACATATCTACAGCCACACTCATGCTCTTATCATTTTTAATGTTAAGAAAAGAAGAGGCAACTGTCATTTACTCACTGATTTCGTCGTTTTTTTGGCATTGGGAACGAGAAAGTAAAAATCTGTGCAAGACATTCTATGACTCGAAGTCGTGCACTTCGAATCAGAAATCGTTACTTATTGGTTTTTTTATGTTTTCGCTTGTAGAGGCAGCAGAACGACAAAATCAGTGAGCAAGTGACGTCTACCTCTCATTTCTCCACCATAAGTGCTCATATCTTTGATATCTAGTCTTTTTACACCACTTAGAAGAAAAAACAATTGGTTTCTTTTACTGTAATAAAAACGACAAGTGTCGACGAAGATGAATTTTATCACCGGTACATGTTTATGTGGCCAGATCATTGTTAATGTTACCAAAGAAGCACTAAACGCAACCGACAGAGCTTATATATGCCGTTGTAAGAATTGTCGTCAATCTGGTGGCTCCCTCGCAGGAACTGGTATTATTGTTCCTGAATCAGATTTTAATATTACTGGTCAACCAAAAATATATGTAGATAGTAATACGGATAGTGGAACGTCAATTCAACGAGCTTTTTGTGGTAATTGTGGTAGCCCAATTTATACGGCTTCACCGACTATGCCTGGCGTCAAGATCTTGAAATTAGGATTATTTGACGGAATTCCTAAGCCGTCGATGGAGTTGTATTGTAGAGACAGACCATCTTGAGACAAACCAATTGAAGGTGCAAAACAATTTTATACGATGCCGACCAAAGAACCATGATATTCGAATGCAGTCAATAACTTACCTAAATAATTTCTTTCTAATGTGCTAATCATGAATAAAAATTATTGCCCTACATTCATCTTGTTTTTACTCACATAATACCACACACTAAAATCAAACGTGTCGCAATAACAGAGTGTAACATTATGAATCCATCATGGCCAGTCTGCTAGCTCTTTATTCATCGTTTTGCTTTTAATATACAGCTAGATGTACTCAACTGCATTGAACATGTTCGATTTATATATTTTCGCATGCTTCTTTTAAAATTATTTCTCGATTAGTTATTGATTGAGATCATTTCGATGAGTTGATTCATTATCAAGAGAGGACTGTCTTGAAATGGTGTGATCGTGTTCAGACGATCTCTAGGCGGCTAGATATCAATATCTGACCACTTAAAGTTTTAAGAATAAAGATCATTTATTCAAGTTCATGTTAATAAAATGTCATTATTTGCTTCTACAGAAAAAAATTAACAACGCTCTTAATAAGAAACTCACCCGCGTTTCGAGAATGTGTCGTGCCGTAACGTATGACACATGCGTCAAGTTTTATTTTAGTGCGCATCTGAGGTCTAGAGAAAGTCCATATGGAAAATCAAACGAATATTAGATCATTGATCTTACTAAGTGTTTCATTTATGAAAGAAAGTATAATAATTAACAGAAGCGTGTACTGCGCGCGGTCATTTCGCATCATAAAGGCAAACATGACTCATACTTGTGCGATCGCACAGTATCGGTTTGATCATATTAACATTTACAATTTGTTAAAGTTGAAACTTGAAAAACTAAGTTCATTTTAATATCATACAGTAACATTTGTATCGTTTTCGTTGTCAACCAAAAATGATAAACGATCGGACATCAACGTAGTAATCATTCTTGAAAAATAGTTATCATTTTTTAAATGCTACTGGTAATAGTTTTGAATTGTCAAAAATTATCCATTGTACCAGACATGTTTCAAGTTATACAAGCATATATTTCTAATTAGTATGGAAATATATTGTTCGATAAATTACACAAATAGAATATTTTAAATTTGAGAACCTCTGAACAATTTGTATATTAAAACCATATTCTATTCCAATTAGTTATTCTATTTCTGATCATAGAGGATAGTTTCAAGATTTTATTCATCAGGAAAAAAGTCAAGAACATTATCTAAAAATATTATTATATGCCTCAAAGAGAACATAATGTTTTTGGCAAGACTGCACGATTGATTCAAGTTTATTTCATATAATTTGAATTCCTCATTTCTTCATCTTTCGCCATATACCAAATCATTTATATTCATGTCTGGAGTTTTCGCTACTGTATTCAGCTTCTGCAAGACACTGTAAAACCTCTGCGTAGATTCTTAAACAGAAACTTCATACAGAATATGTCTTGCCATATCTGATTTCGTAAATTTCCTATTGATGATCATTTTCATTAAAAAAGTTTTAGTATCCTCAATACATGATGTTGTTGAGTTCACATTAGTGACATGTGGAATTGCATTGAAGCTCTACGATTATTCGATGTTATATAGTATTTCAATTGTAGCACTCTTGTATTTTTTGATCAGATAGAAAAATTTATTTTATTAAACTAACCATTGAAAAAATCTCTACAAAATGAGATACGTCAAACAGATTAGGGCATGGGTATACAAAAGAAGAACACCCACACCCACACCGTCCTACTGTTGATTTATGAAGGTAAACTTGAAACATCACTGTATAAAAGTGTTCATTAATGAGGTGAGTCATTTTTTAGATGTGGCGCATATCTCTGATTCACACCGATACACAAAAAGTCACTAATCTAATACAAAGTGTGTTTTGTATAGGTTATCAAAACGTGTTACAATAGTAATGAAATCAAATAATCGAATTTTAGTTACAGAAGAGAAAACAACGGTAATTAAACGTACAGTGATGTATATTGACACTGAATACGACAATTTTCTTTTTAATGATTCAAGACCTATTCCAATCGTGTGCCAGTATCTGTTTCTGGAATTCTTATCATGATACATTAACAAATGAAAAAAATTTATTATTCATGGTTCTTCAACAATAATAAAATCCTTCGTATCTCATGAATGAGAAAAATTTGTATTCAATTATTTGTTTTTTTAGTATCCATATGGTATTTTTTGTTTCCTATTATTCTCATCTATAAGCAATTGCAACGATCACTTTGAAAACGAAATCACTTATTTAGCTTTATGATATGTTTTTTTAATGTTTCTACACTAATACTTCACAATGAACAAAAACCATCAAGGCTACAATGAATGTCTATATATTCCAATGTGATTTGTGTTTTTGAATTCATTCAACGATAACCAAAATTCTGCACTTAATAATTGAGAAGTAAATATTGAAGAATATTTAAACATTTTCAAACAAAAATTCAAAGTCATTGAACATCAAAAATGAGTAAAGAAAAATCTATTTGATCGAAAACATTTGTGGTACCCAATTCTTAACATTCAATTTGTAATCTTCAAGAACAGTAAAAAAATTCGAATACATTTGTTTTCTCCATACGAAAAAAAGGATACGTTGTAACACCATTCATGTTCAATCCATGCACGAAGGATCTATCTTCCATATTCAAAACTGTTATTTAGCATAAGGCTGAACAATGATCATTAATGAATTCAAACCTTAAATGCAACTTCCAAAAAAATGAACACGGAAGACTTCGGTTTTTTTAAAATTCTATCAATATTTCACCAATCAAATAAACAATATCAAAAAGGATATTCGACCAACATTTAATGAACGCTCCCATAAATAAGCTCGATAAAACTACTTAATATTGTTAAAACTTGAATAGCTTTCCTAGTAGCACAAAGTCATAAACATTTATATTGCTAACATTTTCTTAATTTTATTGATACTGCAATGTCTCTTATGCTGTCTGTTTCGATCAATTAAGTGGTAAGAAGCAGAAAAAAAAGATTGGGAAGTACTGATTTTTGACTTTATTCGATTCGATCAAGTACGATGTCACATATAAGCAGTAGTCTCACGATGCGCTTCAGTTCCTCGACTGCTTTCATACGTGCTCTCATCTTTATAATTTGCCGTTTGATAGTTTTTGACTCTTATGGCAACCCATTCTTGGGCTGTCAACACATGATCTTCGGGTTGTTCTTCTGTTCCATTATTTACTATACTTTTCATTAAGACATTGTTTTCTGGCCTTGAAAAGTAAACAACACTGTAGCGATCTACCGTTTCCTTGAGCCCAGATATAGTTACAATGCGATGTATATTCGATTTGAGGATACCACCAGAAAGTTTAACCATAGCGTCACCAAGATTAACAATGGCATGTCCTGATAAAGGTTGAATATCTAACCATTCTCCATTCGATCCTAAGACTTGCAGGCCGCCTAATCGATTAAACAGGATCGTTATCGAACCAAAATCGGTATGCGCACCAAAAGCCACAGCTGGTAGACATCCCTTTTCAGTAGGATACATAGTAGACTTCGTAAGTCGTAATTGATCACCACTTGGTTGCTTAAGTCGATGCAAGTTAGGCAGAACTCGTGAATCCAATCCCAATTTCAATGATAGAGCTTCCAAAATCACTAATGCGATTTCATGCGACTTCATCATATATTCCGTTATGGTGTTTTTTGCATTTATGATCGACTCGGGAAATTCTGCTTTATCTTCGATAAGAATTTCATCCTTTGAAATGTTCCAAAATTCCATCCTATCCGGGGTGCCTTTTCTGTCAGAAAACATAGAACCAGCGGCCTTGTAGCCGAAATAGACTCCCTTACTTCCGTCCATTGCGTATTTCATTTTAGTATCCAGTGGTAGTTCAAAAACTTTTTCTGCGAGCGTAAATATGCCAGTTGGATCTAGTTGATTGTCTAGTTTGAGATAAAAGAATCCCAGTTCTGTGCAAGCTTGAAAGAGTCTGGTGAATTCTGTAGGATCCTTTTGAATGAGAAGATTGTAGTCGATAATCACAAGCGCAACACTTGGTGTAGATTCTATCGATTCAGAAAATGTCGACGTCATTGAAAGTTTTTTTTTCTGATGAAAGAGTTCTGCGACACAACAAAAACAAGTTATCTAAAAATGAAAGCCAACTCTGATAGTCGTACACAATTTTGATTAAAAACCACATTGAATTGAGGTATATTCGTCTATATCAAGTGAAAAGCTTTCTCTGAAAACAAACGTGTTTAACTAATCTTAACAAGTTCTAGACCCAAGACCGATATATTATTCATCTGTAGACACATTCAAACATTTGTTTCTAACTATTGAAAGATTCGTTAATGAACTTACAATTGAATATTGTTATTTAAATGAAAAACCTATTGTTTTTCGCTTCGTCATAGACTAGCACTAATTAATGACGGTCAAGTTCGCTTTCGACGGATAGACATAGAAATGAAAAAATCTACAATTCACAGTATTTGCCTCACATTTTCTCGCTTCAGCTTCATGAAGCTGCTCATCTATTGTTTTCATGTGTCTGATTCGATCGAAAACTCTTCACGCTCGAAAACATCAGAAAATATATGACTGCCTGTCAATCGAGATGAAAAGTCAAAATTTTTAACAGAAGCTTAGATGTTTTCTGTTTCGATCATTGAAAATGTATTTGGATACGTATCAAGCATGTAGTATGCCAACGAAATCTTACAGGAGGTGGAGAAGAGTTCCTACAAATGATAATAATATCAGTTTTCGAAAATTTTGCCTTCAGTGTCGTTATCTTTATAAATATAGAACTACAGACGTTAGAGGATGTGGATATGAATGAGTGAAAACATGAGACACACACTATCGGTTATAGCTAGAATCACACTTGATAACCACAGTGATAGTCCCAGACACATTCTAATGTTCCTTCAATGAATAAAATGATGATTCTAAATGTCAAAAACTAAGGATCTATCATTTCATAATGACAATTTTATTATTCTGCCGCTGAATATGCATATCGAATATCCGCAATGCGAAAATTCATTATACCAGATTCAAAAACAATGACGCTATTGTGTTAAATTTATTACACTGTGATACAAAAATCCTAATAATTGTTCCCTAAGAATCCACACAATGAAATAAAATGTGTCCTATGCATTTTTTGTGACTCGATAAGCTTGTTTCAATATATTTTGAACAGACAGTTCGAATCAAGCACACAACACATTTTTGATTGCTTCTGAAAATTGAAATGATTAGTTCGAGTTCGTTAGATTTTGATCGAAACGGCTCAAAATAGTCGTTTCTTGATTATTGATCAATCACGTTATGTTTCATTGTGACGGCTATACGTCGTGATGAAATCTATGACAATAGAACTCACTGTTATAGAGACTTATGTGAAATTTTGGTTTGATTGATCAAGCCGTTCTTGAGATATCAAAACTGTAAAGTTCTATATTTATGTCATGGGTCACAGAGGTGCATTTTTAATTTTATGTTAACAAATTTCTCAAAATGTTGTGCCTATTACACATCTTAAATTGAGCAAAATCTGAGAATATCAATAGATTACATTCTCTAGTGGTTGTTCGCCACTGATATAGACTGACACTTATCGGAAAAAAACGAAGACATTTACCATTTGTTGTTACCATTTAGTCGGCTATTGTCTATTTATAACTATGATGATATATACAAAATAATGCTTGCATTTCTCATGTAACGACAGCGCAAATGAATTCTCATATTTCAGATTGATGAAAGTAAATAATAGAGTTTGTGCTCTTATCACTCATTTGATGTAGAACGAACAAGATAAGACGAAAAGCCTTTGTAACCAAAGGTCAATAACAATCGGTCGTATACGACAGTGTGCCGATTAAATACAGTAACAAACGGCGACCATTTTATTACAGTCGTTCACTGTTGTGGTAAAGGAAAATTCTCAACGAATTATGCTCGTTGTGTTTCGTCATAAGTGATTGAATAATCTAAAAATCCAGAGTTACAGAGATTTTTATTTTTCGAAATCACGCTGATGAGAAATGAAATTTTATTATCTTTTCATGCATGCTGAGTTTCATTGTAGTTATATATCGTTGAATTATTCAAAACAGATTTTTTTCTAATTGAAAAATGTATCAATCTTAACTAATAAGGAAACTTCATCAAGTAACAGCAAAAGTCCAGTTTTCAACTGGATTAATTCATTATGATAGCATCATTTACTTTTGTATTGTTTTTTCCTTGAAAATCAATATTGAAAATACTAATATGCGAAAAAAAAAAACAGTAAACTTTCAACTTACAATTACAAAGGTATAGAGGAAACTAATGAGAAACGATTTTGAAGATGATCGAAGGTAGATCAAAAATGTTGCTTTTGACAAACTTATTAAAATGGGCATAATACAAGGAAAAAAACAATCCATGAAGATAAATCAATTATGGGATCTTCTGTTGTCAGCAAGGCCTACCTGATTGAATAAGATGTATTTCAAATTATCCTATGATTGTTGATAATAATAAATGAATAGTCAGATCAATCATTACATGGAATCAATTTCTTCGGGCTCTCTTATCTACGTCAGTTAAAAGAAATGTATTATTGGTTTTCCATGATATTTGTTGACAGTTTATCTAGATTTCTGTTGAAAATTATTCGTCTTGTAACTAATTTTGATATTCGAGAAGGTTATCAGAATGAATTCTTGAATGTAATTTTAAAAAATATATTCATGTTCAATGTTTTCGTTTTTTCAACACGATTAGCATACTAAAGAACAATGTGTATTACTTCATCATTTAGTTATAGGAAAAATGTTCATACATAACTGTCTTTATCCATCACAATATTTTGATTCATCGTGTAAAATACATGTTGTTGAAAAAAGTTTCACTATTGTAAAAGATTTTAATGATGGTTTAATAGCAAATAAATTTAAGGAAATAAAAATGTCAATTAAAATTACTCGCTGTTAAACTTAATAATCAAAGAAAATATACACATAAATTTAACGCAGATATTAAACCAACTAATAGACTTCAAATGACAGGTAATATCCGAAAAAAATTCTATAAAAAGATTTTTTTTTCAAGGTGGAGTGTGACCTTGAGTCTTCTTCTTTCTCGTATCTACATCCGAATTATTGTTATCTATGAGTACATCAAAAAAATAATAGTTTATTTTTTAAAAGAATTCAATCGTGAAATTTCAGAATAACAACTGATCATAAAGTGTTCATATCTGAGAATTAATCAATCTGTGATGAAAAACGCTATTCGATAGTTTTGAGTCTCATCGAGCTATGAATACGGACAGAATATTAGATTGTACTAATCTTTTGTGGGGCAGTTGTAAGAAATTTAGTTATAGTTGAAAATAGCATATACATATCATATATTAATTTTGTAAATTAATCTATAATATTATCATGAATAATCACAAGAGCACAGAATCTTCAATCAAAACAGTTGAAAAACGTATGAAAGATCCAAAAATAGAATAGAAACTTATTATGAAAGTTGAAATTCAATTTGCAAAATTATTTTGTTTTAATACACTTGAAATCCACGTATTGAAGTTAGCGATGACCTAGTCAGATTGTTGATTGATTAAAAACGTGAAAAGAATCTTTATTTGACAAAAATATTATCCAATTTGTCTTATTCGATCGATATTGTTGAATAAGAAGAGATATTTCTTTTAGTTTGTAGTCTTGAAAGACTTCTAATTAACGACATCAAAATTTTAGTACTAATTTTCTATCTAAAATATTATCATTTATCAGAACAGTCCTCTATAACCTTGTATACCCATTATTGCTATTTTTATGAAAATTCATTAACTAATAAAATAGATTCTAAAGGAATCTATATCATTATTCAGTCATAAATTGAAACTTACTCTAAACGTAAAAAAAAATATGAAATCGAGACAGAATACTCTACAGAAAACAAAACAAAGAGATGCTATCATTAATGAGCTCCTTGGCAGTGCATTGCAACACATGCAATATTGAATTGCATTTTAATTTCTATTCAAACGAAATTAAAATGTTTTTTTTAGTAGGTATTTTGCTGAAAAAAGAACATTTAGGCTTTGAATTTAAGATTGATATAAAAAAAAAATAGCGAAGTACAATTATTACATCCTTTCTTGATAGCTTTCATTTCAAATCCAATACCCACACTCTAATATATCACTGTGGAAAATTATTTGCATCGATCTTTAGAATGCTGCTGTATAAAGAAAACTTTCATCGATTCAGTAAAATCAGTGGTAATTTTTTAACTTTCTATCAGGAATTAAATATTAGAACAATATGTGATTATATCACCTACAACATATTTATTTTGGAGAGTTTCGTGTCAATAGTGACGTTTCTAATCTTGACAGTAGTTTTCTTTGTTTCAATTGGCAACTATTATCATAGAATTTTTATTTCAAAATTGTCAAAAATCATCGTAACGATGAAGTATCTTTGCACATTTGTTCAGAGGTGTCATTGTTAGTCGGTGACGATGAGTCATCATTTTGCCGAGCCATATAGACAGATAACTGTATTCATAATGATATGTGAAATTTATTGCCTTATGTTGTAACCATGCAATAATTTCTTGAGGACGATCCAAAAAATGCTTTGTGAATCGAAATACAACAG